CTCCGTGACTCCTTTGTCCGCTCCACACTCCCCTCCAGCCCTACCTCACCCGGCACTTTACCCTGCAACCGCAGGAAGTGCTACACCTGCCCCTACACCTTCCCCCTCACCCCCATCCCAGGCCCCAAGAAGACTTTCCACATCAAGCAGATGTTCACCTGTACATCTGCTAATGTGGTATACTGCATCCGCTGTTCCCGTTGTGGCCTTCTCTACATTGGGGAAACCAAGCGGAATCTTGGGGACAGCTTTGCAGAACACCTACGTTCGATTCGCACTAAACAACTGCACCTCCCAGTTGCGAACCATTTCAACTCCCACTCCCATTTCGCAGACGACATGTCCATCCTGGGCCTCCTGCAGTGCCACAATGATGCTACCCGAAGGTTGCAGGAACAGCAACTCATTTTCGCTTGGGAACCCTGCAGCCCAATGGTATCAATGTGGACTTCACAAGCTTCAAAATCTCCCCTCCCACTACTGCATCCCAAAACCAGCCCAGCTCGTCCCTGCCTCCCTAACCTGTCCTTCCTCCCACCTATCCCCTCCTCCCACCTCAAGTCCCAACCCCATCTCCTACCTACTAACCTCATCCCGCCCCCTTGACTGGTCCGTCCTCCCTGGACTGACCTATCTCCTCCCTACCTCCCCACTTTCACTCACCTTTACTGGCTCCATCCCCGCCTCTTTGACCGGTCTGTCTCCTCTCCACCTATCTTCTCCTCTATCCATCTTCTATCTGCCTCCCCCTCTCTCCCTATTTATTTCAGAGCCCCCTTCCCCTCCCCCATTTCTGAAGAAGGGTCTCAGCCCGAAACGTCAGCCTTCCTGCTCCTCTGATGCTGCTTGACCTGCTGTGTCCATCCAGCTCTACACCTTGTTATCTCAGATTCTCCAGCATCTGCAGTTCCTACTATCTCTCACACAGATTGTGCCTTTTATTCAGGGCACAAGTGACAGAGCTGCACCAGTCAGTGTCCTGACACACACAATGGTTAATCCTGTTACTGTCCATGTCATCTAACTTGCTCTTACACTTCTCCTTTATGTGCACACCACACTTTGTAGGAGGGTTGATTGATAGAATTGCCTCTCCTCTGAGCTACAGCACAGCTTTGATGTTTCCTACGGCATTGAATTTGTCTGGGTATATCCATGGCATTTAATGGAATAACTCCATTAGACCATTCTTGACCTCTTCTGCTGCAGTTGATATTTTTGAGTTCAGGTGAATGGTCACAACATTGAGTTTTGTACATGCCAGTTTCTGTGCTATTGGCCAGTCCATTCACATTGACCAGATAAATTACTTGTGGTTTCCATGAAGATGTGTTGTGCTGCATTTCAATGTTAATGTATCAATGAAAGGAATAGGTGACTCATCATATATTGATAATTTTGCTTTTGTAGGTGTAGCATTAACTTCCAATGATCCAGGTGCACATCCTGAAGGATTTTGACAGGTAAGTTAGTTAGATTCATTCTTCTGTCAACTTTGGTTGTCAGTACGTGGTTGCTGCTTTACTTCGGGTATATTATGCTGATAGCAGTGGAAGCTTCTGACTGTTTGACTTCATCCACACATTGCATCATATTCATAGTGTGAAAAGTTTGTATGTTTTCTGGTTGAAGATTCTTCCACTCTGAATCATTGCTCTTGTCTGTCCAGCTGCTAATCTTATGTATGTGTGTTGGTGAACTTCCTGATGTTGCTGCCACTGATTCGCGCATTTGTTTGACTACATCCTAACGTAACGTCTGGAGATATCTTTGGAAACAGATTTCTTGCTGAAATCAATATCATTTTCTATCACACGATTTGCAAAGATTTTTGAATGCAGAATAACTGCATTGGGGGTTTCAAGGACTGCGTTTTCTGCACACTAGTTTGCTTTCTATATCCAGGGCCACAAATCTACCAGTTAGGGCTGACTGTAGAGGAATATTACTTCCTGGGATTTCACACACATACAACTTCTATGCTATTTCAGGTATTGCCTGAAGGTCTTTCTATGGTTTTCAAATTCAGATCCCTACCTTCATGTTGTCTAACAGAAACCACCACTGATCGCTCTACTGTTGTTCCGTGTTTTCTTACACAAGCTTACAATGTCACACCAGGACTGGTAACTTGGACATAGGTTCTATTTATTTGAAGTTACATTAGAGGACTGCTCAGCGGACAGCTTTTTTCCAGAGGTTAACCATCTTTTGTTATAGGAAAGCACAGATGTACTCCTCCATACCCCATACTGCAAACTGGACTGACAAAGACTGTTAGTCACACGGTCTACATTCTGGTTACTTGTTCATGTGCATGTTCCCCCTTAAAATGATATTACAACATGCAGGAGCTAGGTCAGGTGGACTGAGACAGTAGACTGAGAAGAGTCTACCAGTGGCAAAATCTTCTCAAGACACAAAACCGAACTTTCAAGTGTCAGTGAATACAACAAAAAGTCTAGAAATGAAACAGTAGCCTGAAATGACAAAGCAGCAAATGACCTGTAAGTAGCCTGTGATTTCTTTAAAAAATATTGGCTATCATTTTATTTTTTTAGCACCACAGATTGTTGGGTATTGTTTAGCACACAGACAGTCAGGTACTGGGTCATTATAAAATCAGAAAATGATCTTCCAATAACTGATACCTAATTTGAATACATTATTTATTTAACTAAATGGTCTTCTCTTGCACACAGGAAAGTTTAGGGAGAATCCTGATTGCCAATCTATTATGATGGGCAGTTCACTTCCTGTAATCATATTGGAGGCTTAGGCACCTATGTTATGCCTGATAATTGCATGGGGTACAATGCTCAAAGTCTCAATAAAATTACAGCAGAGTGGAAGTTCATATGTAGAAATGAGACACAGTTATCTGATGATATTTATGCTTCAAACTGCATGTGTAGCCAGTCATCATGAACAATATCCTAACAGTGAGCAGCCTATATTTTGTTAGGTTAGGTTTAAAAACCTAAGATATATAGAAATGCAAATTCTGTTGCACAGGAGAGAACTATAGTTATCTAGCTCTGTGTGTCAATCAATGATATATATCAATATTGCCTTGTATTTAAATGTTGTACAATTCAATCAAGAGAATATTCTGGAATGTTAAATTTGTGCACCCAGAGTTACTTCTCTTGAAAAAAACAGTAATATTTAATTGCAATAAACACAACATTCTTGACAGTTGCAATGTAATTGTTCTGGTTATCATGATAAAATGATCAAATTACTTCTTAATATCCTGTTGGGGTGTAAATGCTTGCAAATAAAGTGTTATTTGAGGTTTCATACCTAGTTAGATACTAAAAAAAATCACCTGAACCTCACAAAAATTTCTTTTCTCAACAGAGTAAGTACATTAATATTCATAAATGCAGTTGCTCTCTACAGTGTGACACTTGGAGAAATTTATTCAGAAATGTTGTTAAAACTCAGTCTGCAGAGCTGATGCACATCTGCTCTTAATAAAGAAACAGGATGTGTTTGTATGCTCACAGTGGGGAAGAAAACCTATTAAGTATTAAACTGACCACTTCCTGTTTAACTAGGAAATGTGAACAGTACAAAACTCTACATAGTAAACAGAAAAAAAAATTGAAAAACACAACAACTGCAAGGAAGCAGTACAGTTTAAACCCTCACCATAATATATAATAAGTAATTGGTGGATGAAAATATCATTTTGTTAATCCTCAAAACACTGAAATCTTGCCATATACAACTTCTGGCTCTAATTTTACCTCCATTTGCCATAACAGTATTCAATCAAGAAATGAACCACTAATAATTCATCCTTAGAAAGCGAATTCCACTAAGAGCTTACACACTTCACAAAATATGTAATCAGCATATGAATTCTGAAGTGCAGATTTTTGAAGAAAATAATCCTCACTCTCTCTAATCGACCAAGAACAGTAAAGATCTGTAAGGATTAAAAAATCATGCTTCCTGCCAGGAAATTTTGCCTCGTGGGAGTGAAGATTGGGAAATCATGCATGTTCTTGCCAGGATTTTCTGTTGACTGAAGTTTTTCTCTTGGCTATGGTCAACAGGGCCTTTGTCTGGCCATATTCCATCTCACTCTTCTCATAACAATAACAGGTTTAACCTTATTTTCATTTTCCTTCCGCTGGCCTTCACGTTTGCTGGATCATCTTGCAGCACAAATGTATTTGTAGACCCCATGTCTGCGGTTGATCGACAAAGTTGGGAGTTTGCAGGTGGATTGGGGAGTGTGTCATTTGGAGGTAGAGGAAGGCCAGTGATGGGGACTCAGGAGTTGAAGCGGAATAATGTGTCACAGGATACCAGATTGAGGGGTTTTGACATCTTCTCCTGTCCTGATTATAGATATAAGTTTTATATTTCCATCTCTTTTAGCAAGGAGGCCAAGAAAAACAAGCAACATTTTTTTTGTTCAACTTAGGAGGTTTAGGCCAGGAGCCAAATGTGGACATCCAGGTGGTTCTATTACTGCTGAATTGAGAGCTAGTATAAGGTTGCGGACTTGCTCGCTGAGCCGGTGTGTTTGATTGCAAATGTTTTGTCACCTGATAGGTAACATTGTCAGTGCGCATCCGGTGAAGCATTGGTGTTCTGTCCCGCTTATTATTTATAATGTCATTGCTGGGAGACAAATGCCATCCATCTGAGCATGACCTGCGAACAACTATACTTCCTGCATGAATACCTCTGAAAACAGGTATTGTCACAAAGTTTAAAATATAAACTACCTACCAACAATCCACAGGCATGGAGAACAGCTGCACAGAACGGCCGCAGAATGAGAAGGGTTATGATCAACGATGCCCACACCCGCCTCCCAAATATGAACGGGAAATTGCGCACCAAAAACCTTTGTACTTCAACGCAACCAACCAAGAATGGACAACAACACTGGAGCAACCACTGAAAAACAGAACCGGAAATGATGCCAACCACCCCAGCAAACAGAGGCATATAAATAACCAACGTTTCACCGGAGATGGTCTAATGATGTTAACTAGCAAGGTGACGAAATGTCTGCAATCAAATGCACCGGCTCGGCGAGCAAGTCTACAACTTCACCCACAACACGAGCTACAAATCTTCTCAAAAACTTGAGGGCTAGTAAGTTTGATGTCACTTGGCATTCCAGCACAAAGTGCTCTTCTCCTGAGTTGGGGCAGAGGGTTTGAGCCTGACAGGACCTGAACTCTAACCTTTCTTATGCCACTGTACCTGTTTAGGGCAAATGGAAGCTCTGATCCAATAGAAATCACCAGACAATGGCAGGGACCCAGAGAGTGTAGCCAGTGCTCTCATTACCAGGGCTACATTATTCACACCAAATTTATGACAGGAATGCACCTGAATGACTGCAGAGTTTCAACGACATGTTTCATTCTGAGTTTTATTTGTTTTTTTTAGTTGAAACGTCGAGTGAAGTTGTGAGACCACAACTTGCAAACTGACAATGTTTTATCAGTTGTTTATAGAAACCTCGCTCCAAGCAGTACATTTTTTGGCAACCAGATTATTTACCAGGATTCAGATTCAAATGCTTTGAGGCATGCAGCAATAGTTTTGCTTTAAACTAAAAGAAAAGTGGAATCATATTCAATTTATTAAGACATTGCCCAAATTGAGTGATGCTCTACATTGTATTTAAGAACTATTCTACCTTCATAATAATTATACATTTGGCTGCAAGAAATCTTATGTCTTGACTCACTTGGAAGATTGCCCTGATACTTGAGCCCCACTATTCCAGTGTCATTAGAAAACCTGGAGATTTAATCAAATTACTTCAAGTCCCTAATATGCCTGCCTGATGAGCTCAGATTAAAAGAAAACACTGACCAGGCTTTGATAATTAATTGGAAATTACAATTTACTACAAATAAATCAATTCTAACCACAGGCAAACAGTGCTATTAATTATCAACATATAACTCCACTGTCTGAAACTCCAACCCACTCTTAAATTCTACATACACATGCATAAACAAACAAACATGAATAGAAACACAGTTCATTAGCACCAGTCCACAGGATCTCATGAGGTGTCCTTTTTGCTTCTTCCAAAACCTATAACCTAATATCGATGTAAACTGATGAAATCGATGTCTTATTTAGAGCCCTATCAATGTCTTACACTTTCCCTAGTTATCTTTTTATCCTTAATGTAAAATAACTTAGGATTTTCCTTTATTTTACCGGCCATTACTCTTTCATGCAAATTTTGCTCTCCTAATGTTCATTCTAAGTGTCCCTTACACATTCTGTAATCGTCTAGGTCTTCTGCTGTTTAGAGCCCTTGATATTAGCCATTAGCCTCCCATTTTTTCTTTATCCAATCCTGTGCATCCCTTGATATCCAGTGTTTACTGGATCTGAAGGTCCCACCCTTGGCTTCATTGGTACATGTTAGCCCTGTATTCTCTCTATTTCTTCTGTGATTTTATCC